TGCCGTTGGACGAGTCCCTTGCCGAACGTGCGCCGGCCGATCAGCAGGCCGCGGTCCCAGTCCTGAATCGCTCCGGATACGATCTCGCTGGCGAAGCCGAAGTCTCGTTGATCAGCACGATCACCTTCCTTTCGTGAACGGGCCGTCTTCTTTCGCGACGATTCGGTCGGGCGGCACGCGCATCCCTTCGGTCGATACGATCACGAACCTTCGGGTAGGAAAAAGTTGCTCAGTTGTACGGCTCCGCCCATCAGCCCGCCGCCGTTGCTGCGCAGGTCGAGGATCAGGGCGTCCATCGGCCCCAGTTTCTGCACGGCGTCCGTGAACTCCTTGTAAGTATTGTTCGCGAAACGGTTGATCCGAATGTAACCGGTCTTCGGATCGACCTTGTAGGCGGCGTCCACCGTATTGATCGGAATGTTGTCGCGCACGATCGTGAAGTCGAGCGGTTCGCCGCCGCCGTGGCGGACGATCCGCGTCTCTACCCGGCTGCCTTTCGGCCCGCGCAGCAGTTTCGGCACGTCGATCTGTTTGACGCCGACCGAGCTTTGCCGTCCACCGCGACGATCCGGTCGTTGGGGAGCAGGCCCACCTGTTCGGCGGGACCGCCCGAAATGACGTTGACCACGATGATCGTATCGCGCAGTACGTTGAATTCGATGCCGATGCCGCTGAAACTGCCGTCGAAGCTCTCCTTGACTTCGACCATCTCCTCGGGAGATACGTAAGTCGAATGCGGGTCGAGTTGCAGCAGCACTTCGCGGATCGCGCTTTCGACCAGCTCATTGTTGTGTACCGTATCGACGTAGGCGCCGTTCAGGTAACGGTAGAACTGCTGGAATTTCTGCAGGTTGCCGGCCGGATCGTCTTTCGCGTCGTTCTGTGCAGAAACAAGCGCCGGCGCCGCGAACAGCAGCGTCGCCAGCAGGATATGGATTTTCATTCTTATCATTGCAGTATCTTTAATGTCCTTGTGATAACGCGCCTCGCCGGCGCATTATTGCAGGCGCGCGGCCAGTTCCGCCAGCGGAACGGCCTGCTGTTCGCCGGTCGCCATGTTTTTGACGGTGGCGTTTCCGGCGGCCAGTTCGTCGCTGCCGATGATCACCACCAGCGGGATCGCGCGCCGGTTGGCGTATTCCATCTGCTTTTCATCTTCGCGGCGTCGGGGTACATTTCGCACGGGATGCCTGCGGCCCGCAGTTGTTTCATCGCGCGCAAGGCGGCCGGTTGTTCGGTTTCCCCGAAATTCAGAAACAAAACCCGCGTGGTGACGCCCGCTTCTTCGGGGTAGAGACAGAGTCCGCACATCACGTCGTAGATCCGGTCGGCTCCGAACGAGATGCCTACTCCCGACATGCCCGGCATACCGAAAATTCCGGTCAGGTCGTCGTAGCGTCCGCCGCCGCAGATACTGCCGATCGCGAAATCCTTCGCCTTTACTTCGAAGATCGCGCCGGTGTAGTAGTTCAGCCCGCGCGCCAGCGACAAATCCAGTTCGATATCCATTCCGTGCCAAGCGCTTCGACGTATCCGAAGATCGTTTCCATCTCGTCGATGCCGGCGATTCCGGTTTCGCTGCCGCCGATCACCGCGCGCAACTGTCGCAGCTTCTCGCGGTTCGTACCGCTGAGCGACAGGATCGTTGCAGCGCGGCCACGGCCTGCTCGGAGATACCTTTCGAAAGCAGCTCTTCGTTGACCGCTTCGATTCCTATCTTTTCGAGTTTGTCGATCGCCACGGTGATGTCGGTCATCTTGTCGGCGTGACCGATGGTCTCGGCGATGCCGTACAGGATCTTGCGGTTGTTCATCTTCAGCGCGATCCGGATGCCGAGTTTTTTGAACACGGCCGCCACGATTTCGATCAGCTCGACTTCGTTGAGCAGGCTGCGGCTGCCGATGATATCGACGTCGCACTGGAAAAACTCGCGGTAGCGTCCCTTCTGCGGCCGGTCGGCGCGCCATACCGGCTGGATCTGGTAGCGCCGGAACGGGAACGAGATTTCGTTCTGGTGTTGTACGACGTAGCGGGCGAACGGTACGGTGAGGTCGTAACGCAATCCTTTTTCGCACATTTTCACCGACAGCGCGTTGCGGTTGGCGTCGGCATCCTGCAACGTTTCGGGTGCGACTCCGCTCAGGAAGTCCCCCGAATTCAGGATTTTAAAGAGCAGCTTGTCGCCCTCGTCGCCGTATTTTCCGAGCAGCGTCGAGAGGTTTTCCATCGCCGGCGTTTCGAGCGGCAGGAATCCGTAGGTGCGGAAGACGCTTTTTATCGTGTCGAAAATGTAGGTGCGTTTAATCATCTCGTCCGGGCCGAAATCGCGTGTGCCCTTCGGAATGGATGGTTTTTGTGCCATGACGGTGTGTTTTCTAAAATTTTATTTCGTTGGCGAACTGTCGATCAAAGCGTCCAGTTCGGCGATCTTTTTATCGTAAGCGTTGCGGGTGATCTGGCGCAGCAGTTCGACGTGCGGCCGGATGCGGTCGATGTCCGCCGGGGCGATCGTGTATTTCGGATCGTAGCGTGCGGCGATATAGGCGTCGTTCAATATTTTGAACAAGCGTTTGCTCTCTTCTGTGTCGGTCGGAAAAAATGCAAGGATTTCCGGCGTATGCACTTTACAGGATTTTACCAGTTTTTCGAGGTCGTGTATCCTCGGTTTTTTAAGGGTGTGGATCAGTCTGATCGTGTGGAGGAAAGATCACATGCTTGATGGAAATTGAAAATGGAAAATTTATGATCTTTGTTGGAGTGCGCTAGGGCAGCGTATTTATAGAATGTTTCTCCGCGACCGTTCCATTCCTCAAAATATTCCTGTACCTGTCCTTTAAACTCCTGTGCATTCAGTTCGCACGGTGTTTCGAGCGTAAACTTTCCGCTGTCGTACAGCATGATTCCTTCCTCGGCGATGTCCGTCCAGAAATACCGACCTTCTGCGAGATATTTATTAAAAGTTTGGATATGTTCCAGTATAAAACTGACCGGGGTATCCGAACGGGTGTTTCTTGCGAAAACATCTTCTACACGATCCAACTTCCGTGCGGCCCCGTAAGGTTCCACTCCGTGCTCGACTAGCACCAGGATATCGTAGTCGCTTTGGAAAGTCGTATGAACCCCGTAGTCGAACCGTTCGTCGAGTTCGACCCAGTTGCCGCGCGCATAGCTGCCGAACAAGATAACCATTTGGGCCGGTACGGCCCTGCGGATGTACTTTGTGAGGATTTCGAGTTCCTCCGCTTTGCGCTGCGGTAGGTGTCCGAGTGAGGTTTTCATACGCTGTCGGTGTTTAGTCGGCGACCAGTTTGCGGTATTTCACCCGGTGCGGGTTGTCGTCGCCGAGGCGTTTGCGCTTGTTCTCTTCGTATTCGCTGTAACCGCCTTCGAAAAACACGACCTGCGAGTCGCCTTCGAACGCGAGGATGTGCGTGGCGATGCGGTCGAGGAACCAGCGGTCGTGCGAGATCACTACGGCGCATCCTGCAAAGTTATTCAACCCTTCTTCGAGGGCGCGCAGCGTGTTGACGTCGATGTCGTTGGTCGGCTCGTCGAGCAGCAGCACGTTGCCTTCCTCCTTCAGCGCGAGGGCCAGGTGCAGCCGGTTGCGTTCGCCGCCCGACAGCACGCCGCACTTTTTCTCCTGGTCGGCGCCGCTGAAGTTGAAGCGCGACACGTAGGCCCGGGCGTTGACGCTGCGGCCGCCGAGCTGGATCAGCTCGCTGTCCTGCGAGATGACCTGGTAAACCGTCTTTTCCGGGTCGATCGACGCGTGTTGCTGGTCGACGTAGGCCAGCTTGACCGTCTCGCCGACGCGGAACGAGCCGTGCAGCGGCTTTTCGATCCCCATAATCAGCCGGAACAGCGTGGTCTTGCCGACCCCGTTCGGGCCGATCACGCCGACGATTCCGGCGGGCGGCAACGAGAAGCTCAGGTGTTCGTACAGCAGCCGGTCGCCGTAGCCCATCGACACGTCCTGCGCTTCGATCACCACATCGCCGAGGCGCGGGCCGTTCGGGATGTAGATTTCGAGTTTTTCCTCCTTTTGTTTCGTATCTTCGTTCAGCATCTTGTCGTAGGCCGACAGACGGGCTTTGCTCTTCGCGTGGCGGGCGGACGGGGCCATGCGAACCATTCCAGCTCGCGCTCCAGCGTTTTGCGCCGTTTGCTCTCCTGCTTCTCTTCCTGCGCGAGACGGTTCGATTTCTGTTCGAGCCAACTGCTGTAATTGCCTTTCCAGGGATGCCTTCGCCGCGGTCGAGTTCGAGGATCCAGCCGGCCACGTTGTCGAGGAAATAGCGGTCGTGCGTAACGGCGATGACCGTTCCCTTGTACTGTTGCAGGTGCTGTTCGAGCCAGTCGATGCTCTCGGCGTCGAGGTGGTTCGTCGGCTCGTCGAGCAGCAGTACGTCCGGTTGCTGCAACAGCAGCCGGCACAGCGCCACGCGGCGGCGTTCGCCGCCCGACAGGTGTTTGACGGATTGGTCGGCGTCCGGACACCGCAGCGCGTCCATCGCGCGTTCGAGCGTGGCGTCCAGTTCCCAGCCGTTCTTGTGGTCGATCAGTTCGGTCAGCTCGCCCTGCCGTTCGATCAGCTTCGCCATCTGGTCGTCGTCCATCGGCTCCATGAACTTCGCATTGACCTCTTCGTACTCTTTCAGCAGCGCGACCACGTCGGCGCACCCTTCCTCGACCACTTCGCGGACGGTTTTCGTATCGTCCAACTGCGGTTCCTGTTCGAGGTAGCCGACCGTATAGCCCGGAGAGAAGACCACTTCGCCCTGGAAATTCTTGTCCAGCCCGGCGATGATCTTCATCAGCGTCGATTTCCCGGAGCCGTTCAGCCCGATGATCCCGATTTTAGCCCCGTAGAAAAACGACAGGTAGATGCCGTTCAGCACTTTTTCTGGTTCGTGAAAGTCTTGCTGACTCCGACCATCGAGAATATGATTTTTTCGTCTGCCATGTCTGTGTGTTAGTGCGGTTAATTTGCGCAAATATAATAAAAAAGCCCCCGTTTCCGAGGGCTTTTCGAGAATATGCCGTAAAACGGGGAACCTATGCGAACAGTTTCGCCGGATCGAGGTTCGCCGACTCGATGTCTTTGAAGTATTTGTAAGTACCTACTTTCAGTTCGTCGGTTGCGTCCTCGTCGCAGACGATGATTCCTTTGGGATGTACTTGCAACGCGCTGATCGTCCACTGGTGGCTGTAACCGCCTTCGATGCCGGCGGCCAGCGCGCGCGCTTTGTTGTGTCCCATCGTCAGGATCATCACCTCGCGGGCGTCCATCACGGTGCCCACGCCACGGTCAACGCCGTTTTGGGAACCAAGTCGACGTTGCCGCCGAAAAAGCGCGAGTTCGCGATGATCGTATCCTTGGTCAGCGATTTGACGCGCGTCCGCGAGTTCAGCGACGAAAAGGTTCGTTGAACGCGAGGTGTCCGTCGGGGCCGATGCCGCCCATGAACAAATCGATGCCGCCTGCGGCCCGGATACGGGCTTCGTAGTCGGCGCACTCCTTGCATAGGTCGGGCGCATTGCCGTTCAGGATGTTGACGTTTTCGGGTTTGATGTCGATGTGGCTGAAGAAGTTGTTCCACATGAACGAATGGTAGCTTTCCGGATGGTCTTTCGGAATGCCTACGTACTCGTCCATGTTGAACGTTACGACGTTGGCGAACGAAACTTTGCCCGCTTTGCAGTATTCGATCAACTTTTTATAGGTGCCCAACGGGGTGGAACCCGTCGGAAGACCCAGTACGAAAGGCCGTTTCTCCTTTTGTTGTGTTCGTTGATGCGTTTGGCAATGTAGGCGGCTCCCCAGGCCGATACCTGTCCGCCGTTGGGTTCGATGATGACTCTCATAATTAAAAATATTTTATTGTTCTCGGTTGTGAACGTTCTGGACCACTATGGGCAGCCGTAACCGGCCATAAACGGGTCTCAACCCGGACATTCTGTAAATAACGTTATTGGACGTCGCCCTTTCCCGCCTTGAAAGTCACTTGGTTGGCAGTGTCTTCCACGATGTAGATGTCTTCGTATCCGGGAGCGATCGCGATGCTTTTTTGATAAGACACCATCCCGTACGCGACGTCGTTGATGTAATACTTATTTTTCTCGTCTTCGGTAAACGAAGGTAATAATTCTGCTTTTTTCGTGTTGAATGAAGTTTGTAGAGCGACCAGAGCGGCCTTAATCGACGCGCTTTGCTCCTCGTATTTCTGCTTGGCCTGTGCATCGCACTGTGCGTAAGCTTCTTCCTCGGTGTCGCCCGTTGCGTTGATCGTGAATTTGGCTCCGAATTGTTTATTGATATTTGCGATACCTTCTTCGAGCAGCGTATTTAGCTGATTCAGATTGTTCGTTTCACTTCCGAGATAACCATCCTGTCCGAGACCGATACGGGTCTGGTATTCGCGGCTTACTTTAGCCTGGTTGTCTTCGTCGTCTTTGCAACCGCAGAACAGCAAGGCCGCGCAACTCATCAGGATTAGGATTTTTTTCATGGTTTCAATAAATTAAAGGATTTGTGTTTTTTATAGTTTGAAAAGGTCCAGTCTGACAAATACTTCGATCGCTTGATATTCGGCCATTCCCAGCTTGTCGTACATCCGGGCGGTATTCTGCGTACGTTCTTCGGCGCGCTGCCAAAATTCGCGCTTGTCTTCGCCGGGGAACGGCATCACGTCCTTCTGCGACAGGTGGCGGTAGATGGCGTGGCGTTTCTGCACCACCTCGTCCGGGCTGAGCGGCACGGCCATGTCGACCATGTCCAGATCCCACTCCTGCCATGCGCCCCGGTAGAGCCAGAACCGGCAATCTTTCACCCAGGGTTCGTTCTGTATCTGGTACATCGCCTCGATGACCGCTTCGATGCAGGTGCGGTGCGTTCCGTGCGGGTCGGACAGGTCGCCGGCGGCATAGATTTGGTCGGGCTTGAGTTCCTGCAATAATTTACGACGCGCGAAATGTCGTTCTCGGTCAGCAGTCCCTTTTTGACGCCTCCCGTTTCGTAGAACGGCAGGTTCAGGAAGTGGACATTTGTCCGGTCGTTCAGCCCCATGTGCCGGCAGGCCGCCTTCGCTTCGGCGCGGCGGATCGAGCCTTTCAGCTTGCGGAGTTCCAACGGTTCGGGTTCGCCTTTGCGCTTACCGGCGATGATCGCTTTCACTTCGTCGTATTTGTCTTCGAAACCGCATTCGCGGGCGGTGTCGATCGTTTGCAGCACCACGTCGTCGTGCACGGCGATGTTGCCGGACGTTTCGTAAGCTACGTGGACGTCGTGTCCCTGAGTGATCAGCCGGCGGAACGTGCCGCCCATCGAGATCACGTCGTCGTCCGGATGCGGGCTGAAGATCAGCACGCGTTTGGGGAACGGCTGCGCGCGTTCGGGACGCGTCGAATCGTCGGCGTTCGGCTTGCCGCCGGGCCATCCGGTGATCGTGTGTTGCAGGTCGTTGAATACCTGGATATTGATCTCGTCGTAGGCCATGCCGGAGATTTCGAGCAACTGGCCGAGACGGTTATCCACATAGTCCTGATAGGTCAGTTTCAGGATCGGTTTGTCGACCTGCTCGCACAGCCACAGCACGGCCGTGCGGATAAAACGTTTCGGCCACAGGCAGCGTCCGACCAGCCACGGCGTGCGGATACGGGTCAGTTGCGAGGCGGCGCCTTCGTCGACCACGACTTCCATGTTCTGGTGCTCCTGCAGGCAGGTGGCCGGAACCAACAGTTGGCGTTCGCCTTCGACCAGCTCCTTGACGACGTACGCTTTTTCTTCGCCCACGCGATCAGGATGATGCGTTTGGCGTCGAGGATCGTTCGCAGTCCCATCGTGATCGCCTTGTGCGGTACGTAGTTGATGCCGTAGAAGATCGATGCGGCGGCCTTGCGGCTTTCGTTGCCGAGGGCGACCAGCCGCGTCCGCGTATTGGTGTAGGTGCCCGGTTCGTTGAACCCGATCTGCCCCTGTACGCCGGTACCGAGCACCATCAGGTCGATGCCGTCGTACTGCTCGATCAGCGCTTCGTAGTCGCGGCAGAACGTTTCGACTTTGTCCTGCGGCAGCGTCCCGTCCGGGATATGGATGTTCTCGGGTTTGATGTCGATGTGATCAAGCAGACTCTCGTGCATCGAGTAATTGCGGCTCTGCAACTCCTTCGGCGAGATCGGGAAGAATTCGTCGAGGCTGAATATGACTACGTTGTGAAAACTGAGCCCCTCTTTTTTATGCAGTTCGACCAGCGCGCGGAACAGGCCCACCGGCGATTTCCCGGTCGTCATGCCCAGTACGCACATCTCTCCGGCCGACTGTTTCTCGCGGATGCAGCCGGCGATCTCCCGAGCCACGTACATGGCTCCGCTCGCTTCGTTCTCGTAAATGTTCGTGTAGATTTTTTCGAATTTTCGGATGATGTCGGCAGGATCTGCCCCCGGCTCCAGCCCTCCCTCTTTCGGCAATTTGTAATTTCTTTCCATAGCCTCCTGATTTTATGATTCTGAACGTATTTTGTCAGCGCGTAATCGAACGCTAAAAGTAATCATTAACCGGGGATTTGCCAAATTAATCTCCGGGTAAGATAAAAAACGATTTTTTATGTTTTATCGCAAAAACTTCGTATCTTTGTTAATATTATAACAGAGGGGCGGTAAACGGTTGCCGTCCAGCTCAGTGGGAAACAACTTTATAAATCATCGCACTAATCAAAACAACTATGGCTCAAAAACTTTTGATAAGGGATTTGACCCTCCGGGACGGACAGCAATCCGCTTTTGCCACCGGATGAGCAGGAGCAGATCGACCGCGTCCTGCCTTTCTATAAGACGCTAATTTTTACGCCATGGAGGTGTGGGGCGGCGCCGTGCCCGACTCCGTAATGCGCTACCTGAAACGAAAACCCGTGGGCCGCCTCGAAAGATCAAGGCCGTCGTGGGCGACGTTTCGAAACTGACCGCGCTGTCCCGCGGACGCAACTTGTTCGGATACGCTCCGTATACCGATGAGATCATCGAGGGATCAGCCGCAATGCGATCGAGTCGGGACTGGGCATCATGCGTATTTTCGACGCGTTGAACGACGTGAACAACGTGAA